TTGAAGAAAAAACTAACGAAAGAGGACAAAGAAAAAAACTGGCTGGATCAACCGTTGTCGGAGTTTCGAATTCCTGGAGGGATTCCTGACCTCAAAGAACTAAATGCGGTGGAGAAGAACACGTGCCAATTCCTCGGGATTAATAATCCAGGGTGTCATGAGGTATTACCACCAGGGTTGTCCGTAATCCCGGGACCTGTCCCCGATAATCTCGGTGATATAAAATTCGATGATATTAATATGGATACTTTTTTCGATATGAGTGATGATGATGTTGATGGTTGATGGTCATGTACTCTTGTAACTTATTTCAGATTTTCGTAATTTAAGATGTGTTTCGAGTATATATTGTGTGTTTTTTTTTTTTTTTCTTGCAAGTATATGTTGGAATCTGATATACATGAATTCAATTATTTAAAATTGTTATATACTTATATTGTTATTTATTGATTCCGTTTGGATGTAAGGTTTTATGGCTCAATCAATTCTCATGAATTAAATTAAGATTAAGAATTAAGAAGAAGGCAATTGGCTTTAATGGAGTTTTTGGGAAATTGCAATTGGGTCCCAGATTTAGTGTTTCTGTAATTACAAATTTGGTCACCTAAATTTAAGTTTGAGATATTTAGCAATATTCCAACTTGGCCCATATTTTGGTTATTCCTGATTTTGAGCCGGGGTTGATTTGAAATCGTGTTAAAGCTGTATTAGAGCCCTCAAACTTCCGAAAAGTGCATTTCAGTCCCCACTTTTGAAGTTTCTCTCAAAACTGTGATATATTTTCAGAAAATATATTTTCACCCTAACTTTAAGTATTTCTGAATTTCAGGTCCGTTTTCACTCAAAATCTTTTCTTTTGAAATTTCAATTCAGTCCTTTAAGTTGTAAGATTTTCTGGATTTGGGGCAAGCGCAATTTTTAAGGTATAAAAAAGTTGATTTAAGATTTTGGGCCGTTTAAAATATTTCAATTATTTTGAGGGACCGAACTAATATGTGAATTCTTTTAAATTCATTTAAGGTTTTGTTTGGTCAGTAAAGTGAGGTTCATTTTGAATTTCAAATTCGGTTTTCTAAAAGTAATTTGGGGAATTTTCAGATGATAAAGTTTATGCCGTTTATTAGACTTAATTTTTTTATTAATGGGTCAAAATTAAGTACACAAATTAATTTTTAACTCAATAACCAATTAAGGATTGACTCTTTCGATATTTGACTCAAGGCTTTTATGTAAGTCTAATTAAGTTTATTAATTTAGTTCAAATCCATATAAAGTTAGACTTATTGGTTAAAATTTATTTTGGCCACTAAATCTAAATAAGATTGAATTAATGAGCCCCACATCATCTTTAGCTCAAACTCAAAATAAAGATGGATTCGATGTTTTCACTTTATACTCATTTTTATGAACTAGGAAGATGCACGTGCGTTGCACGTGTCGAGTTAATTATTTTATTGATTTCGATCTTATATATTGCCTTTTATATACTTATCATTAACATGTAAATTTAAAATATTTAGTAATATCTATATTTGAAGTATATAACTATTTTAATAATATATTATAAATTCACCATGAGGTTTTTCTCTAAAAGTTCCCAAAAGGGGGTATGATCAAGTGAAAAGTTGCATTTTTTCGTTCTTCGAATAATGAGACTGTTACTTCAAATTTTACTCTATGAATATAAATCACATTGTTTCTACTTTTTAAGGATCATAATGTTGGAAAAATTGAGGTGATCATAGTGTGTTTAAATGAATAAAATTTCGTGATTGTTTCAAGGAATAAATTATGGAAACATAATCTACGCTTCGAGTAGATAATTATAGTGTGTTTAAATGCTCAAATCCAATATGGGATGAATGAGAAATAAATGCAGAAAGTAAGTACTTCAATGAGCTAAAGTGAGCTCAAATGGCTTGGTGGGAGGTGAAAAGTCACCTATCCCTCATTACGAAAAGAGCATTAATGAAAACACTTTAAATAGTGTCAAATGGATAGCTAGAGGTATAATCAAGTATGGGCTTCAGTACCAAGCCACACACTTGCCGCCAATCCCGATCCCGATCCCGATGGACTTTGGAAATGTTTGGATGGATGGACTTTGGAAATATTTGGTTTGGATTTGGGTCCGTTTTGGGCCTAAAAGTAATTAAGTTTTGGTTGGAACTGTAGACAATTGCCGAAACCGAAGCACTGTAGCGAGGCAATTTTGTCTTAAGGAGAGAGTACAAAGTTCTTGCCTCGACTCTGTAGCGGGCCAATTTTGTCTTAAGGAGAGAGTACAAAGTTCTTGCCTCGACTTTTCTCTGTTTCTCAAATCTCTGTTCAAAAAATTCCTATCTCGAAAAACCTCTAAATAACACATAATTTATTTCAAATGTTATGCAAATTGATGCGATTTTATATCACGAAGCTAATTTATTTTCAATCTGATCGACAGTTCCACCGATTACTAACTCCAAAAAAATGATTATTTGTATCTATAAATAGTTGGTATTCTACTTAAGTAAAGTGGATTCATTAAACATATTGAATTTCTTTTATAGCAAATAAATTCAATGCAGTATTGTTTAACATAAAATCACGTTTCTGTAGATCACAAAATAGTATGGAAAATCATTCGAAATACAATGAACAAAAGTTAAAATATTAAAAGCATCACATATAGTAAACATTGGTGTTTTCATGTGTTAATTTCAGAATCACTTTCTCCTCATGAACCCTCATTAGTGAACATATGAAAACATCATGAAAGTTGTCCATATATTTTTAATTAAGTATTTATTTACAGTAGTCTTTAAATTGCAGTGCGGATTGTGAAAGACTTTTATTTAATTTTATGCGGAAAACCTTAATCACAGAATCTTGAAATCAAATTCATCTTAAGAACATAAACACATAATTGGGATTATCGACATACCGTTCGCCATGGGTTTCGATAGAGACGATGAACGATAACAATCTACAAGCCGAGCCTAGCCAGGCCTCCTTCGAATCTCCTTGTGAGAACTTTATTCGTAGGCACACCTTCTTCTCTCTATCTCTCTAATATCACAACTCACTAATATTCTGTAAGTGATGGAATTCTCAATTGCGTCTGATGGTTGAGGAGAAGAGTTGTGGCTGCTTTTATAGACGAGAGAAGAGGGCCACGATTGATTTTTAACGGCAGAAGACAAATCCCACCCATCATGGTCTTTTACTGCCTTCAACGTTACAAATCAATTACCATAAAATCACCTTAATACCATGATTTGAATTACCCACAATTAATAAATTAAATACAAAGGTTAATGGGCCATTAAAATAAAACGTTACAAAAATAAAACTAACATTCTCCCACTTGGCCCATTGAACCGTTTAAGAAAAATAAGTTTTTAAAAATTATTTGACTCGGTGGGTTCTTCATACAAAACATTTGACACGTGATCACGATTTTAAAATAAAATTAAGGTGATTACCATAATAGGTAAATAGAGTACTTTAATACTAGAACTAGCTTGAGTTATTAATGTGAATCATAGCGGTTATATGATTCATTCATCATATTCCCTTCTATGTATCACGCCACTAATAACCCTTACTATTCTAATCCATAATAGCCCCTTTAATTTTGTCTTGTTAGGACAAACCCTGTTAAATCCAAATATAATATGTGCACACATAATTGGAAACAGGAAAACAGAAACATTTCATTAAATAAATTAAGTGTCAATTACATAATCATAACTCATTAAATCATGGATTGCTCAAAAGACCCATTCTAATAACATGTTCCTCATATGTCTTTATAGGCAATCCATTGGTTAATGGATCAGCAACCATAAGAGTTGTACTTAAATTTTCTATTGACACTTGTTGTTTCTGGACTCTTTCTTTAACAACCAAGTACTTAAGATCCATATGCTTGGATCCACTTGAATACTTTCCATTCTTAGAGAAGAAAACGGCTGCGGTGTTATCACAATATATCTTCAAAGGCTTAGCAATTGAGTCAACAGCCTTAAGCCCTAAGATAAAATTTCGCAACCACAGTGCATGACTCGAGGCCTCAAAACATGCTACAAACTCAGCCTCCATTGTGGAAGAAGCAATAATACTTTGCTTTACACTCTTCCACGAGATTGGTCCACCAGCTAGTAGAAATACAAAGCCCGATGTGGACTTTCTACTATCTACACAACCAGCAAAATCGGAGTCTGAATAACCAATAACCTCTAATTGGTCCGATCTTCTGTAAGTAAGCATGTAATCCTTTGTTCCTTGAAGATACCTCATAACCTTCTTTGCTGCTTTCCAATGATCTATTCCCGGATTACTTTGATATCTACCAAGTACTCCCACTGCATAACTAATATCTGGTCTAGTACAAGTCTGTGCATACATCAGACTTCCAACTGCTGATGCATATGGAATCAATTTCATTTTCTCCTTTTCCAAATCATTCTTTGGACATTGCTTTTCATTTAATTTATCACCTTTCGTGATAGGAGCATTAATGGCTGAACAAAACTGCATATTAAATCTTTCAAGAACTCGATTGATATATCCTTTCTGAGACAAGCCTAACAATCCTCGAGATCGATCTCTAAAGATCTCTATCCCAATAACATAATTTGCCTCACCCATATCAACCATCTTAAAATTCTTGGAAAGATAATTCTTAGTTTCGTCACTACTAGAAAAACAGGTTTTGGTGACGCCTAAATGACCCCTTAATATGACGGTCCTTTAAAATCGTCTCAACAACTATTCTATTAAGACGCCTTAAACTATACGGGCTTGTTACTTCCGTGTTTTTATTTTTCTTTTATTTTTTAAATCATAAAATAAATATATTAGGACGCTTTTGAAAACATCGTCATATCATATCGTAATTTACCAAAATATTTCATAAAAGATATTTCACCTTGCCTTTTTAAAAGATATTTTATTCACATAATCCTTCATTTTTTCTTACTTTTTTTCTAACTTTTTTGGTTCCCCTTCCCCTTCCCCTTCCCCTCCGTCTCTTTTCACAGTTGTAACCACACAAAGGTATACATATCATTCAAGCTACAAAAGATAATCCGACAAAGAAAACTCAAAAGACAATATTTTTCTCATAAACCAGGTAAATGTTATGATTCATGGGGTCAATGAATTTTTAGGGCTGAATGATATTTTTTCTCTTATTTTTTAGGGTTCGCCGTTTTTTTATGGCTGAATCTAGGAAACGGGTTAGGGTTTTTAGATCTGTTTAGATGCAATCAAGGAACTTTATTGATTTTGTGATATTTGATTGTACTTCCTATTAATTTATACCTTTCAATTTCTTTGATTGTGAGTTCTTTTTAGATGGCATCAAGGGAAAAAGGGCCGGTAAGTTGTATCTTCCTGACATTGGGTTCTATGAATTCTATGTTTTTGATTTTTTGTTCATCTTGTGAATGAATTTTTGATTCGATGGAAAGAAGAAAGCTTAAACCTGGTAAAGCCTTTTTCTCTTTCTCTCTCTCTCTCCTATAAGTCATAATATAATTTGTTTTTTTTCCAAAAGATATAATAGATTGGATAATCGGATTGAAATCCAAGAATTTATTGGAGTGCAATTGCAATCAAATTATCTTATAATATTAGCTTTGTGGTGAGCAGATTTTTCCGAGGCTTTGATGTTGAAAATATGAAATTTCGAGGGTTTGATTAGTATGTCTTTGAAGAGCTTTTTGTTTCATTGCTATGGAATTTTGCCACGGTAGAAAGATCGTAAATTATTACTTTGTATGTATACAGCTTATAACTAATGATGAATAATCTGGTACTTATGTTTTTGTAGAGTAACTTACATTTATCTGTACGTGTTCTTATATCAAAATCTTGCATCTAAGTTGTGAAGTGTTGAAATTTTATGCTTTTTTATTTAGACAATGTGTTGTCAAATTATATATTTAACCTCTGATGATCCTATTGAATTTGATAGGTCCTTTAATGCAAAGTTTGGTTAATTTATTACTATAAACACAAATTTCAGGTTGAAGCATCATTTGGTTTCGTGAATCCGACAAAGATAGTGTTTAATTCTCCAAGAGTCTATTAAGTCAATCCCTACAGGTAACTTTTTATAGATTTTATCCATCTAGGCCTGAATTTATGTTATATAGTAATGGCTATTTTTATGTTTTTTTAATCTAAAATGCTGTTATGAGGTCTTGTTATGCACCCTTACTCTGTACATCTTGTAAGTTCAATTGATTTGCATTTAATTTACGGTTCTAATAAGTTTTTCGATTATAAAAATGAAATAATCATTTTTTATTTTAATTTTGTAGTAACGGAAATGAAGGGAGTGTCTTGTAAGATAGTACAATTATACTCTAGAACATGTCAGAGATCTTCTTTCAGGTGCTTCATAAATTCATTCTACTCATTACGTTATTGTTCATTAATCTCATCTATCATCTATTGAACAGATCATAAAAAAGGCTCTTAAAAAAGGTTGCTACATTTTTATAAAGTGAGAGATGGAAGGACGTTGCACTACAACTAACCAGCGAGTCGAACTAGATGCAACAATTCAATTGCAGTAATGTTAAAAGAAGGGTTTTTTTTTTATTTTTAGATTAAATGTGGAATACTTTTATCCAAATATTTATGTTATTTTGAACCATTGAAATGAATAGCTTCAATGATGAACACATTTGGTGTATGTGTACGTAAATTTTTTATTTTTGTTTTTCATTTTTCTTGTGTTCGTGGATGATTTAATTTTACGTTTACGGTTGAGCATTATTGTATTGTATATTAGATTAGATGTGAAAAATGGTATGAATTAGCATATGAGAATTGAAAAGCTGAGTCATTATATATTTATTGAGACAATTAAAAGCGTCATTATATCTATATTTTGAGACGCTGTAAGGGTCATTAAAACAGAGATTTATAGAAGTTGAAAGGTAATAATATGACGCCTATAAATGTCACAAAAGACGTGTAGTTGGGACGCCCGAAGGCGTCATCATAGCATGGCTGTTGAGACGCGGATTCCGTCACAAAATGATATTATGACGGCCACCTATGTGACGCTTATGTACGGCGTCACAATAACCAAAGCGTCACAAAAAGTTGCTATAATGACGATTTAAGGCGTCACTAAAAGTTGATTTTCTAGTACTGCGTGAAGCAAACCAAGATCACTACTTGCTAGTAAAATATCATCCACATACAAGACTAAAAAGATAAACTTGCTCCCACTGACCTTTAGATATATACACTGATCAACAGTGTTTTCCTTAAATCCAAAGGAAGTAATGGTATCATTGAATTTTATATACCATTGTCTAGAAGCTTGTTTAAGTCCATATATGGATTTCTTTAATTTACAAGCCAAGTGTTCCTTTCCTTGTTTTGCAAATCCTTCAGGCTGGTCCATATAGATATCTTCATCTAAATCCCCATTCAGAAAAGCGGTTTTAACGTCCATTTGGTGCAACTCCAAATCATAATGAGCTACAAGAGCCATAACTAATAAACTTCTTGTGCTAGTAAAATTAATCACTTGATTCCAACTTGATGAATATTTTTATGCAATCTCTACTCTTAACTCTTGACATTGTGGAGTATAATTGTCAATGCCAGCTGTAATACTAATACTATTCCTATTGTTATTGCTATTGCGATTTTTCTTGTTATTGTTATTGTTATTGCAATTGTTATGCCTTTCTTGCAGAGCATGATAGCTTCACATTTCATTTCTCTAACCTCAATAATGAAACCTTTATGAACAGAACCATCGAGAATGTTTCAATACTCCTGAATTGGGTTATTGGGAATACTACTTGCAGTGAGGCTCGGAAAATCCAAATATTTTGCGTGTCAAAAGAATAGTACTTGCATTGATCCTAACACCAACCTTGGCGGATATCGATGCAGCTGTTTTGATGAAAATGAGGGTAATCCATATCTTGAGCCAGGCTGCAAAGGTTAGTTCTTTTGAGATATTAGTTGGGTTACAAATTTATTTAAAAAAATTGAATTTGATGAGCCGACTATAATGATATTTATTTATGAGTTTCAGGCACAAATTATTGTGAGAATAGTCCATTTGACCCAGAAGGAGAATGCACTAGTAAAGATGGTGGTTATAAATGTAAATGTCCTCGTGGCTTCAATGGGGATGGCACAAAAGATGGAAATGGCTGTTTTAAACAAAATATGGCGCTGAAGTCCGCGTAAGGTATTTGTAAATGATAAAATTCAATTGTCTAATTGTGTTTCAAATATTAAACCAATGGAAAGATTGCAGCTTCCTCACTTTAGTTTAGTTTAATTAGCTTAATACAACACTAATACCGCATGAACTCCAATTGCTTCGATTTGGTTAACTTTAGTTTAATATATGTATGATGTCAAAATGTGAATTTTCAGGTTTCGGATTCGAATTCTTGACCGTGATAATTGACATTACTTAGATATACTTTACCATCCAGTAGTGGAAACTCATGAAACTAAGAGAGAAATTATTCCACTAAAACGGTTGATTGTTATTGAAGCAACTTCTTTTTTTCAACGAGGGTAGTAAAGAATCAACAAAAATATTCTCTGCCGAAGAGCTCGAAAAGGCCACCAAAAACTATTCAGAGATCGCATCCTTGGACAAGGAGGTTACAGAACGGTATACAAAGGAATTATGAGAGACAAACGTGTTGTGGCAATCAAGAAGTGAAGAAATATGGATCAGACTCAAATAGAGGTCTTCCATCTATGAGGTGGTTACTCTGACTCAGGTAAATCACGTAAATGTGGTCAAACTAATGGGATGTTGTTTGGAAACTAAAATACCTTTGTTATTATATGAATACATCTCAAACAACATCCTATTTCACCGTATCCACAACATTGGGGAAATACCATGATTTTCTTGGGCAAATCGGCTGAGGATTGCCACAGAGGCAGCCGGTGCACTTGCATCTCTTCATTCCACAGAAGGAATGCCGATTATCCATAGAGATGTTAAGTCGCCAGACATATTGTTGGATGAGTATTATACAACAAAAATAGCAAATTTTGGAGCTTCAAGATTGGTGTCTTTCGGTAAATCAGAAGTGATCACTCTTGTTCAGGGTACTTTCGGTTATCTTGATTTTGAGTATTTTTTTTTATACTGACTGAGAGAGAAAAGTGACGTTAATAGTTTCGGGGTCATCTTGGTTGAGATCCTCACAGGCAGAAAAACTTTGTCTATTGCAAAGAGTGATAAATATATAAACCTGGCTATGTACTTTGTAGGGTCTATGAAGGAAAATCAACTTTTGCGAATAATCGAGCCGAGAATTTTGAGAGAAGGGTGTTTGGAGCAAACTGGTGCGGTGGGTGAGCTTTTTAAGAGATGTGTAAAGTTACATGGAGACGAAAGACCGACTATGAAAGAAGTGACGATGGAATTGGAGAGGCTGAGAAAGTACGATTTATATTCACACGAACAAGAAGAAATAATCCATGATAAAAACATGGGATTAACATGTGAGAAACAACCTAAAATTCTCTGGAAGGATCAATCCGGACAATCTTTTGTCCCATGCACGAAATAGGCCTTCGTTTAAACAAAGTGCACGAGGTTTTTTGTGTTCAATGGTTCTTGATTTATTACTATTTGTGTTCATGTTTGATAATACTATATTACATATTGTGGTTATTTGGACTTTATTTATTGCAAGAACTTTCGGTGATTATCAGTTTCTTGATTTTGTAAAAAATTGTGTGAACATTTATTGGGAAGTGATTTTGAAGTTTCAAAATTGTTTTAAATAACATTGTTGGATATTTGACTTTTCAGTCAAATATAATTTAATTGTTTTGACTTTTTTAAATCAATTTTTATTATTTTTGAATTTATTATTTTAATTCAGATTTATTATCTAGAATTAGTGGGCGGTTACTGTTAGCTTAGTGGGTAGTTATTTAAGCACATGTTTAATTAATCCACTAACCAATTGATCTACTAACCCATTATCTCTTCTAGTGTGTTAATTTCTTGGACTTTATAAATAGGAGAAGAACTCAGTTCATTTCTCACCTTTTCTGCAGAGTTGAGAGTACAGAGTTGCGGGTGTTGGAACACCTTTACCATCACCATGTTTTCTTTATGGATTTCTCATTACAAAATTGAGTCTTTTTTGTATTCAATGTCACTGTATACTGGTTTGTATTCCTAGAGTGCTGCTAAGCAATATCATCATAGAGTCTATGAATTGGTTTACGAAGAAATCCACTTATGATTTCTTCTTAGAAGAGAAGATCTTCGCTTATCATTTTTATTCTTTTGAATATTCGTTTGTATTTCTAGAATGCTGCTAAGCAATATCATCATGGATTGTAGGGATTGGTTTACGAAGAAATCAACTTGTGATTTCTTCTTAGAAGAGAAGATCTTGGCTTCTCATTTGTATTCTTTTGCATACGGTTTTGTATTCCTAGAGAGCTGTTAAGCTATAGAGTCTAGGAATTTGTTTACGAAGAAATCAACTTGTGATTTATTGTTAGAAGAGAAGATATTGGCTTCTCATTTATGTTCTTTGAATACTGTTTTTATGCCTATGAAAGCGCATCAAGTAGATAATGATTTAAAATATGTGTATTTATATTCCGCTGCATAATCTTTCTCAACACAAGTTTTTGTTTATTGTTTGAAAGAAATCTCTTATTTTGTAGCGAGTTATATTATTTTACACGAATTCGGAGACATTGAATTCTTCCAAAAATGAAATGAGAGAGGGGTTTGACTGGTTGTCGCTTAAGACATTGTCAAACTAAACATGATTAATTTTGTTTACATCTAAGGATTTGAAGTATTTTAATCTAAGGACAAACAATTATGGATGTCAATAATTATGGTGTAGGTTACTACCATTTGAGTCACAAACAAACAATTATGGACTTTCTCAGAAAATTTGAGAGCAATTACTATTTAATTAATCCGTTATCCGCCTAATATTATGTAGCTCAAGTAATTAATTGGGAGCATATGAAATTGATCAAATGGAGTTAACTAAACCAGTTGCAGTTCTGCATAGGATGAAACTTAAGAAAGTTTATGTTGACGTTGTCTTAAGTATCGACGCAGCAGGTCAACTCTTCCCATTTCATGGACTGCTTCATCGATTAGATCATGTTATCATCACAACTCCTTTTAAAATATCTATTCCTTCAAATACAAATACATCAACAAGAATACTATAAATAAATTCTTACTTCTACATATATATATATATATATATATATATATATATATATATATATATATATATATATATATATATATATGAGTAAATTGTAAAAACTACCCCTGTGTAATCCTCAATTGCTAAAAAAGTCCTTGTGTTATAAAAATTAGCGAAAACCCCCCTATTTAATTTTTTTATTAGCTCACCGCACCTATTAAAATTTTAGTCATTGACCAGAGCTGAAAAGACAAATATACCCTTTAATTAATAACATAAAATTAGAATTAATATATAATAGAGGCCAAATTGTAATTTTACTAAATTTCTGAAACTTAATTAGGTGACTGAATTGTAATTTTTCAAAATACTATTAAACCTAGATTGAAACACACACTACGCACAAAATTCATTGCATAGACCCTGCCTCCTCTGCGGCGGCGCCGTTGACCAGTTCCACAACCTTTTCTTCTTTTGCAAACTCTAGAACCATGACGGAGAAGACGGTAAAAAACAGAAAAACAATGAGGAGGTTTGGATCTGGAGGCATCAGATACCTCTTCTCCTCCACTGTTTCGTGAGGCTGCCGGCTTCGACAAAGCTAATTTGAGAGAATTAGGGGCGGCTCCGGCGGCGGTAGTGACCGTGGCAGCCTTTGCTGTTTTGAGTTCCAGAAATTTTGGGGAAGAAGAGAATTAGGTCCTGGATTTTTTTTTCCCAACTTGAGAGGGTGATAGGGAGAACGAAGATGATTAGGATTTAAGATTTTAAAAATTGCTATATGGTCCTTTGAATTTGATTTATTTCTAATTACATCAAATTTAACATACATATTTTATTTATATGAATAAAAGGGTGTTTATGTCATTTTACCCCCAAATGTTCAAAAAGAACCGCACAACCCGCGCGTGATTACCACGAGCAGCTTTAATGGACTTTTTCGCCTTTGACTTTTAATCATAGGGGGGTTTTTGCTAATTTTTATAACACAAGGACTTTTTTAGCAATTAAGGATTACACAGGGGTGGTATTTGCAATTTACTCATATATATATATATATATATATATATATATATATATATATATATATATATATATATATATATATATATATATATATATATATATATATATATATATATATATATATATATATATATATATATATATATATATATATATATATATGAGTGCACTTATATAACACCAAAAAAGAGCATACATAATATGGTGGCAGAATCTAGCCCGAAACACAACTATGTATGTGTGTGTCTACAAATTTCTCACGCGCCGCGGAATAATACACATACATATGCGTGTACGAATACAGCTTTTTTCACTCACGCGAAGAATGTGAGCCTTTGACGGATCACAGCATTTCTCTCATTTGAAAAATATATCCCGCTGTCCCAAAAGCTCTGCCCCCCTAAATACCTGTATAGAGGCTCAAAAGAAAAAAATAGTTTAGAGTAGATGATCATAGATGAAATTATATCACTATGTGTGTCACTAAAAAATAAATTAAGACCTAAAAGAGAATTATCTCACCTCCCGAGTGTGTTCTTATCCAATTCCTTAAATCAGAACACGT